ACCTGCTGCAGCGCCGCCCGCCACCTGAGCCGCCCGGGCCGCCTCACCTCGCCGAGCAGCCGACCGCCGAGCCGCCCTGCAGCAGCACAGCCGGGCCGCCCAACAGCTGAACAGCCGAGCAGCCGAGCCGCCCAGCAGCCGAGCAGCCGAGCCGCCCAGCAACCAAGCAGCCGAGCCGCCCTGCAGCCGAGCCGCCCAGCGATCGAGCCGCCCTGCAGCCGAGCCGCCCAGCAGCCGAGCCGCCCAGCAGCCGAGCCGCCGTGCAGCCGAGCCGCCGAGCCGCCGAGCCGCCCTACCTTCGAGCCGCCCGAGCAGCCCCATCCGGTGAGCACAGTGCCTCTTTCACTGCACTGCCCTCACCCTACTGTTGCACTGCTAGTCTACTGTGGTCATGGCTACCCCTAGTGTCCTCGCTTTTGACGCTGAGGGTCAAGCCATTGACTTTGACGTCTGGGTAGATGACCTGCAGCTGTTTTTACAGTGCGATAGGGCAGACGGTCTCTCACTCTTTGACCTCACCTCTGGCGCCTCTCCTGCCCCTGCTGCTGATGCCGACGCCACTGTTCGCTCCCAGTGGGCCACGCGCGACGCTGCTGCACGTCTTGTTGTGCGCCACCACCTCCCTACCTCCGAGCGTGCACACTTTAGTCAGTACAAGAGTGCTCAGACCTTGTACGACGCTGTAGTTGCGCGCTACTCCTCCCCTGCCACTGCTGCACTGAGCCGTCTCATGCTACCGTACCTGTTCCCTGACCTTGCTGCCTTTCCCACAGTCGCTGACCTGATTACGCACCTCCGCACTAGTGACACTCGCTACCGCGCTGCACTTCCTCCTGACTTCTGCGCCAAGAACCCCCCCCCCATGTACATCACTCTCTACTACATAGTCACTCGCCTCCCTGACTCCCTTCGCGTAGTCAGGGACCACTTCCTGTCAGTCTGTCCCACCACTCTCTTTGTTGACCTCCTCGAGAAGTCCCTCCTAGCGGCCGAGAAGAGCATAGTCGCTGTAGGGGCCTCTCGTGGTGACCCGCGAACCCCCATCTTTGAGGGGTGTTCCCCCTCCCCCCTTCTGCCCTCTGTTGCCTCTGCTGCTGCGGCCGACCTCCTTGGTCTTGAGTCGGTCGGTATGGCGTCTGCCCCTAGAGGGAGACGCCGCTCTGGCAAGGGCAAGGGGAATAGGGGCAGTGGAGGCGCGAGCGGGGGCAGTGGAGGTGGAGGTGGAGGCGGCGGGGGGAGTGGGGGTGGCGGTGGGAGTGGAGGTGGGGGTGGAGGTGTCGGTGGCGGCAGTGGAGGCGGAGGCGGCGGCGGCGGTGGCGGTGGGAGCGGAGGTGGCGGAGGTGGCGGCAGTGGAGGAGGCGGCGGAGGTGGCGGTAGCAGCGGAGGCGGCGGAGGCGGTGGGGGTGGCGGTGGAGCTGGTCGCGGGTCTACGCAGCGGAGTGGCTCCGGTGGTGGTCTGCGCCAGCAGCAGCAGTGCGGTCGTGAGACCCTGTCCCCTCAGCAGGTCCGTGAGTGGTACACTGCACGCCAGCAGGGTGGGGGTTTTGGTCCGTGCACCTACGTCCTGCGCACCGACGACCGTGCGGGTGAGCAGTGTGGGGGTGCACACCCCACCTAGCGCTGCTTTGGCCGCCTGACGGACGCGTGGCGTCACCAGTTCACGGAGGCCACAGAGATCCCTCGCTGGGGCGAGCTGTCTAGGGCGGGTGTTGCCATCTATGATCTTGTTTTTGATGCTATTCTTTCTGCCATGTATGCTGTGTCTATTAGTGATGAGGGTGACTGTTACCGGTGTTTCCCGCTTGATCCGGGCATTGAGACTACTGCTCTAGGTACTGGTGAGGCGGCTGCCCTAGGTGCTTGCGACGCTGCTGCTCTAGGTGCTAGTGTGTCTGCGTCCTCAGGCACTGGTGAGTCTGCGCTCTCAGGTACTACGTTGGCTTCGGCCTCCCTCACCTCCACCCTTGACTCTGGGGCTTCTCGCTCCTTCTTTCGGGACCGCACCACACTCACGCCGCTTAGTCGGCCGGTTGCGGTGTCTCTGGCTGACCCCTCTGGGGGTTCTGTCCTGTCTCACTTCTCCACAGTCCTCCCGTGTCCGACAGCTCCCTCTGGCACCCTGCCTGGTCTCTACCTCCCCTCGTTCTCTACGAACCTGGTGAGTGGTGCTGACCTAAAAGATGGGGGAGTCCACCAGTTCACTCCTGCGCGTCAGCGGGTGACGCACTGCACAGAGGCTAGCACAGGCCGACACCTGGCTACGTTTCCTCGTCAGCCGGGGTCGAGCCTGTACACACTGACCACTGCGTCTCCTCCAGTTGCTGAGTCTGGTAGGGTAGCTGCGTCGGGTCAGGTGTTTGCTGCAGCGTCCAGGTCTGGTCCTGAGTCTGCCCCCTGTTCGTGTTGTCTCCTCTCTCACGAGACTCTCCTCTGGCACCACCGCCTTGGTCACCCCTCTCTGCTTCGGCTCAGAGGCATGGCCTCCCGTCTACTTGATTCTGGTCTCCCCCGGTCCCTCCCTCCCCTTCCTCAGGGGACTGGCCCTACCTGTGTCCCCTGTGTCGAGGGGCGCCAGCGGGCTGCCCCTCACTCCTCCCAGTTTCCTCCGACAGAGGCCCCATTGCAGACGCTTCACATGGACGTGTGGGGCCCAGCCCGCGTCCGTGGACAGGGTCACGAGCGCTACTTCCTGCTGGTGGTTGACGACTACTCGCGTTACACCGCAGTCTTCCCCTTGCGCAGCAAGGGTGATGTCACTGAGGTGCTGATCGACTGGATCCGCGCAGCTCGTCTCCAGCTCCGGCAGAGCTTTGGCTCGGACTTTCCTGTTCTGCGTCTGCACTCGGACAGAGGCGGAGAGTTTTCCTCTGCCCTTCTGAGAGCCTACTGTTGCGCACGAGGCATCCGTCAGACCATCACGTTTCTGGACTCTCCGCAGCAAAATGGGATCGCTGAGCGCCGCATTGGCATGGTCATGGACATTGCTCGTACGTCCATGATGCATGCGGCTGCCCCCCATTTTCTTTGGCCGTTTGCGGTCAGGTACGCGGCGCATCAGATCAACCTCCACCCCAGGGTCTCCAGGCCGGAGACCTCCCCAGCCCTGCTGTGGACGGGGAAGGTTGGCGATGCGTCGGCGTTCCGAGTCTGGGGATCTCGGGCGTTTGTCCGCGACTTGTCTGCGGACAAGCTGTCCCCTCGCGCTGCTCCCTGCGTCTTCCTGGGGTTCCCCCCCGACGCCCCTGGGTGGCAGTTCTACCACCCCACCTCTCGACGTGTTCTGTCCTCCCAGGACGTCACGTTCGACGAGTCGGTACCCTACTACCGCCTCTTCCCCTACCGCACTCCTTCCCTTCCCCCGCCCCCGCTCTTCTTGGTACCTGGTCCCCCCTCGGTAGACCCCCTCCCCCCTCAGGGTCCTGCCCCTTCAGGTGTGTCCCAGGTAGACGCGGTCGAGCCTGTCGAGGTCACTGGTTGTCAGAATGTTATTTGTCTAGCCTGCAGTGGGGTGCTCAATACTGAGTACAACCCCTTAGGGTTTTCTATTTGTATGTCCTGCTGCTTGCTAGTGCACTCTTCCTTCCTTCCAATTCTCCTTCCTAAACCCTAACTCCTAGTTCTAGAGCAAACTCAACTACCTCCTAGTGTGGGCCTAGGCTACTAAGCCTAGGCCCCACACCTACTATTTTGACATGGTATCAGAGCCGGCACGATCCTGCCGCCTAGTTCATCAGGCCCACCACCTACTTCCGCTGCCGTATTATCCGCCGCGCGCCCCGTGGTGCGCGGCATTGCTTTTTCATCCCGCCACGCGCTTCAAACGCGTGGCGGCTTTTTCTGCCCGTCGCGCGCTTGGGGCGCGCGTCGGTTTTCCCGTTCGTCGGAGCGCCCTCGGGGGGCCTGCGCGCTGCCCTCCCCGCTGCTCGTCGCGACGTCCGTGCGGGACCCGCGGGGCGTCGCCGTTGCTCGTCACGGCGCCCCCTGCGGGACCCGCGCGGCGTCGCCCCTGCTCGTCGCGACGTCCGTGCGGGACCCGCGGGGCGTCGCCCCTGCTCGTCGAGACGCCCCCTGCGGGACCCGCGCGGCGTCGCCTTGCTCGTCGCGACGTCCGTGCGGGACCCGCGGGGCGTCGCCCCTGCTCGTCGCGACGCCCCCTGTGGGACCCGCGGGGCGTCGCCCCTGCTCGTCGCGACCCCCCCCCTGCGGGACCCGCGGGGCGCCGTCAGATCCTGCAACAGCAGCCGCCGCCGCCCTGCAGCAGCAGCCGCCGCCAGGCCTGCAGCAGCAGACGCCGCCGCCCTGCAGCAGCAGCCGCCGCCAGGCCTGCAGTAGCAGCCGCTGCCAGAGCCTGCAGCAGCAGCCGCCGCCAGAGCCTGCAGCAGCAGACGCCGCCAGAGTCTGCAACAGCAGCCGCCGCCAGAGCCTGCAGCAGCAGCCGCCGCCGAGCCTGCAGCAGCAGCCGCCGCCAGACCTGCAGCAGCTGCCGCCACCGACCCAGCAGCAGCAGCCGCCGCTCTACCAGCAGCAGCAGCCGCCGCCGCTCTGCCGCAGCAGCAGCCGCCGCCAGAGCCTGCAGCAGCAGCCGCCGCCAGCGCCTGCAGCAGCTGCCGCCCCTGGACCCGGTACGCTCTGTGCTGCCCTGCCTGTGCTGCCCGTGCCTGTTGCTGCCTGTGCCTGTGCTGCCCGTGCCTGTGCTGCCCGTGCCTGTGCTGCCCGTGTTTGTGCTGCCTGTGCCTGTTGCTGCCCGTGCCTGTGCTGCCCGTGCCTGTGCTGCCCGTGCCTGTGCTGCTCGTGCCTGTGCTGCCCGTGCCTGTGCTGCCTGTGCCTGTTGCTGCCTGTGCCTGTTGCTGCCCGTGCCTGTGCTGCCCGTGCCTGTGCTGCCCGTGCCTGTGCTGCCCGTGCCTGTGCTGCCTGTGCCTGTTGCTGCCCGTGCCTGTGCTGCCCTGTGCTCCCTGTGCCTGTTGCTGCCTGTGCCTGTGCTGCCCGTGCCTGTGCTGCCCATGCCTGTGCTGCCCGTGCCTGTGCTGCCTGTGCCTGTTGCTGCCCGTGCCTGTGCTGCCCTGTGCTGCCTGTGCCTGTTGCTGCCTGTGCCTGTGCTGCCTGTGCCTGTGCTGCCCGTGCCTGTGCTGCCCGTGCCTGTGCTGTCTGTGCCTGTTGCTGCCCGTGCCTGTGCTGCCCTGTGCTGCCTGTGCCTGTTGCTGCCTGTGCCTGTGCTGCCCGTGCCTGTGCTGCCCGTGCCTGTGCTGCCTGTGCCTGTGCTGCCTGTGCCTGTTGCTGCCCGTGCCTGTGCTGCCCTGTGCTGCCCGTGCCTGTGCTGCCCTGTGCTGCATGTGCCTGGTGCTGCTCGTGCCTCGTGCTCGCGCCCTCGTGCGCTCTGCTACAGTCTGCGCCCTCGTGAGCACTGTTTCTGCTCTTCCCCCCCCCCCCCCCCCCCCCCCCCCCCCCCCCCCCCGTTTGCGGGTATGGGGGTGGCTGGTGTGCATTCCTCCCTTTGCTCCTCCTCCTCCTTCGTCTCCCACTGCTGCAGCTGTCGCTGAGGGGGGTGGTTGTGTGGGAGACTGGGGTTTAGGGTTTAAGGGGGGTGCGTGGGAGTGGAGCTAGCGGTGTAGCAGCGGGTGTGTGTCAGGGGGGTGGGACTGTTTGGGGAAGCTGCATGGAAGTTGCCGTACTGTAGTCCGCAGCACCTGTAGTCCGGGGCGCTGTCCCGGTAGCCCAGTGAGCCAGACTTCTACGCTAGCCGCCCGTGGGTCCGTTGCTCGTCTGCCGCTACTTTAGCCGCGGGGCCTGTTACTCCTGTAGTCCGGGCGCTTAGTCCGGTAGCCGCTGTGCCAGTCTGCCTCCTGTTGCCCGTGTGTCTGCAGCTTCAGCCGTCTCCTCCTATCTCCTCTCCCCTCACTCTCTCTCCTCCTCCTCACTTGCCCGTTGTGACTACCACTAGCTTTGCTCATAATTCTTAACTTTAAACTATTGCTTCTTTAACTTGTGCTCAGAATGTGTGGTGACATTGTGATCCACCCTGAGCTTGTACTACTTTGCCTGCTCTGCTGATTACACCCCACTTTGGCTATGGGGGTGTGTCAGAATGTTATTTGTCTAGCCTGCAGTGGGGTGCTCAATACTGAGTACAACCCCTTAGGGTTTTCTATTTGTGTGTCCTGCTGCTTGCTAGTGCACTCTTCCTTCCTTCCAATTCTCCTTCCTAAACCCTAACTCCTAGTTCTAGAGCAAACTCAACTACCTCCTAGTGTGGGCCTAGGCTACTAAGCCTAGGCCCCACACCTACTATTTTGACACTGGTGACTTTGGTGCTGCTGCGGGAGCTGAGCCTGGGGGTGCTGAGCCTAGGGGTGCGGAGTCTGGGGGTGCTGAGCCTGGGGGTGCTGAGACTGGGGGTGTTGAGCCTGGGGTGTTATGTGATGCAACCATATGCATTCACGTCTGTCTGCCTCCCATCATGTGTTTGTGCGTTGCATGCGTGGTGTGAGCGTGTGCAAGAAATTTGTGTCTTGTGTGGTTTGGATTTTCTGAGTGTGTGTGAATGTTATTTGGCTTGAGCAGATATCTGAAGTGACTCCTCTGCTCAAGAGCTTTCCGATGAACCAAGTATCGCTTCAATCGGAGCACGAACAAGAAAGTTACGAACGTTGGAGTTCGTATGCTTTTGATATTTGGTTGTGGTGACTATGGGGAGTTGTGGGGTTGACTCAATATGGGGTACAGACTTTTGGGGGTTGGGAAATTCGTCTTTTCTACTGTAGTTTCTGCCAAGTGGTTGGGTGAAACCAAACCAGGTTGGCAAGTGTGGCCAAGTTGGGTTAAGGTGGATGGCATGGGTTGGGAAAGTGACAAAAGTGAAAGTGGGGTTGCCTATGGAGAGGGGAATTGTGTGGCATGGGGTTTCCTTGGTTGGGGACTCTCTTGGGACCTTCCTTCTTGTCCTCCTCATCCCATCCCACCTGGTTTAGTGCTACTCCAACTCTCTTGTGTAGTTAATTGTGAGCTTGTGAGACAATTGTGATTGAGTTAATATTCTATGGCAGCATACCCCCTAGTGCGCCGAAATTCATAACTCAAGAAATACTTCACCTTATCGTACGATTCAAATTGGGAACTGTAGCCACCGACTAGAGCTACAACATATCTAAGTTTGGTGAAGTCGACGGCGTTTCTTGTGAAGTCGACGTTTTCTGTCCAGAATTCTAAGCCAACCATTTTGAGAATTTTTGGCACCTAATCTTCGTAGACTCCGTCCTTAGTCTCTAACATGGGGGTGCTGAGACTGGGGGTGCTGAGCCTGGGGGAGCTGAGCCTGGGGGTGCTGAGCCTGGGGGTGCTACGCCTGGGGGTGCTGTGCCTGGGGGTGCTGAGCCTGGGGGTGCTGAGCCTGGGGGTGCTGAGCTTGGAGGTGCTACGCCTGGAGGTCCTTTGGGTGCTTCGTCTCGGCGGGAGCCACTCTCTCCACCGGAGCTGCGCGAGTGGTTTGCCCGGCGCTGGAGGCGTGCTGCTGGAGCTGGAGGTTCTTTGGCTGCTGAGGGTGCTGGTGCCGCGGGTCCCGGAGGTGCTAGGCTGGCGAGTTCGACTAGAGCTGGTGCTGCTACGGGCCTTGGTGCTGAGCCTACTGCTCGCTGTCCTGCTGGGGGTACTACTGGTGCTGCGGGAGGTTCTGGAGCTGCTGGAGGTGCTGCTGGAGCGGGTGCTCCTGCTGGGGGTACTGGTGCTGTCCCTGCTATGTCTAGCGTCGCTGCGCGGCCTCGGTCGTACTTCGTTCTACTCCTGCAGCAGGTTCTTGGTCTTCCACCTTCTACAGGTCCTCCTCCTTCTTTCGAGTGTCCACAGCCTGTCTCGTCACAGTTACAGTTGCAGACTGCCTCCCCTTTGCCTGCTCCTTCTCCCTACACTAGTCCTACTGGAGGTCTTGCTGAGCGTCGTGAGCCTGGGTCTCGCCCTGCGTCGCCTGTCCGTGCTGCTCGCACTAGTGGTCGTGCTTCGCGTCCACGTCCTCCTCCTGTCCTTGGCACGCACCGGATGTCTCTGCGTCCGTCCACTGCTCCTCTGCGTGCCCCTTTGCCTTCTCCTCCTGAGTCCTCTCTTCGTGCTCTTGCCGACCCGGAGTCGGACTCTCTTCGTGCTGCCAGTCCTACTGTCACGCGTCTCCTTGCTACTCTCGTCACTGACCCTTCTTTCGAGTCCACTGCTGCGTCTGCCCTAGTTGCTGAGCTCGTCGACTTTGCTGCTCGCTGTCGCCTAGACTACGCTGCCGGTCTTGTTGCTGAGTCTGCGTCTGTCTGTCCTCCGTCCGTCGGGGGTGAGTGTGCCCTTGGCACGGACGTCCTTGAGGACAGGCATGAGGAGTTCCGGTGTCTGGCTGCTGCTTCACCTCATCTCGTGTCCGTACTGCTTACCCCTGAGGGAGACCCGGATGCACTTGACATCCCGACTCCGCGCTCTTACACGGAGGCGATAGAGGGTCCCTACTCTTCTCAGTGGCAGGCAGCATGGATGCAGAGATGGCTTCCTAGAAGTCCACAGGCACCTACGTTGACGAGGTTCCCCCGCCTGGGGCGAACATCGTCAGTGGCATGTGGATCTTCAGGGTGAAGCGGCCGCCGGGTTCTCTGCCTGTCTTCAAGGCACGGTACGTGGCTCGTGGCTTCAGTCAGCGGCAGGGAGTTGACTACTTTCAGACCTTCTCTCCCACCCCGAAGATGACCACTCTTCGGGTACTGCTGCACGTTGCTGCTCACCGTGACTATGAGCTGCACTCTCTCGACTTCAGCACAGCTTTCTTGCAGGGCAGCTTGCACTAGGAGATCTGGCTGCGCCGCCCGCCTGGCTTCACTGGGTCGTTCCCTCCTGGTACCCAGTGGAGTCTCCGGCGTCCAGTCTACGGTCTCCGCCAGGTGCCCCGTGAGTGGCACGACACACTGAGGACTACACTTGGGGCTCTTGGGTTTGCTCCTTCTACTGCCGACCCGTCGCTGTTTTTGCGCACCGACACCTCTCTGCCGCCGTTCTACATCCTCGTGTACGTCGACGACTTGGTCTTTGCAACAGCTGACACTGCTGGACTCGCCTACGTGAAGTCCGAGCTGCAGAAGAGACACACGTGCACAGACCTGGGTGAACTGCGCAGCTACCTTGGCTTGCAGATCACTCGGGACACAGCATGCCGCACCATTACCCTGACTCAGTCACACATGGTGCAGCAGGTCCTTCAGCTTCACGTACTCCTCGCCTCAGGCCACTCCTCTGCCTACTCGCCACTCGCTCTCAGCTCTGCCTTCGGATGAGTTCGTAGAGTCGAGTGGCCCGTATCCAGAGCTTGTTGGCTGCCTCATGTACCTGATGACCTGCACACGACCTGACCTTGCATACCCTCTTAGCATTCTCGCACGCTATGTTGCTCCTGGGAGACACCGACCAGAGCACATGGCTGCAGCGAAGAGGGTGTTGCGCTACTTGTGCAGTACGTCGGGCATGGGGCTAGTGCTTGGAGGGCGCAGTCCAGTGGTCCTCACTGGGCACGCAGACGCTTCCTGGGCTGACGACCAGGCTACACAGCGGTCGTCACAGGGTTATACCTTCGGCCTTGGTTCTGGCTCTTTCTCGTGGCGGGCTACTCGCTCGTCTTCTGTTCTCGGCTCCAGTTGTGAGGCTGAGATCTACGCCGGGGCCATGGCTGCACAGGAGCTTCGCTGGCTCACCTACCTGCTGACCGACCTTGGAGAGCCACCTCGTTCTCCTCCAGTTCTGTACGTAGACAACAAGGCCATGCTGGCCTTGTGTCGAGAGCAGCGACTGGAGCACAGAATGAAGCACATTTCTCTCCGCTACTTCCTTGCTCGTGAGCTACAGCAGCGTGGACAGTTGCGGCTTGCGTACGTGGCCTCTGAGGCCAACACTGCTGATGTCTTTACCAAGGCACTTCCGCCTTGTGATCATCAGCGCTTCTGCACTCAGCTGGGTCTTGTGCCTGTCTTGCCTCACTTGCTCACCTCTTGACCTTGCTTGTACTGTTACATATATATATATGTGAAAGAAAGAACGAGAATGAAATGACTATGAACGAAGTGAGTACAAATAGGAAACCCTAATTGGGTTGTACCCCCTATGGGATACCCCACTATAGCCTACACAACAGCATAAGCTATAATGTTCTGACACACCCCCATAGGCAAAGTGGGGGAGAACAAGGGGTCACAAGACCAGTCAAGCAAAGCAAAGCAAAGCTCAGGGTGGATCACAAAGTCACCACACAAGGTCAAAGGCCACAAGGCCAGTTCACATGCAAGAGGAGACACATATATATATAAGGCTACACATGCAAGAGCAGGTATATATATATGCAAGAGTACAAGCAAGGTCAAGAGGTGAGCAAGTGAGGTAAGACAGGTACAAGTCCCAGCTAAGTGCAGAACCGCTGATGATCACAAGGCGGAAGTGCCTTGGTGAAAACATCAGCAGTGTTTGCCTCAGAGGCCACGTACGCAAGTCGCAACTGACCACGCTGCTGCAGCTCACGAGCAAGGAAGTAGCG